AATCTGCCAATATCCTTATGGGGTGAAGCAATCACCACTGTTGTTTATATTCTAAACACGTGTCCTGCCAAGAAATTGAAGAACAAGGTTTCTGAAGAAGTGTGGAGTGGAAAACAACCATCAGTGAGTCATCTGATGGTGTTTTTCTCTATTTATTACAAGCATGTTTCTGATGCGAGAAGAATGAAGCTTGATGACAAGAGTGGACCTAGGATTCTTGTACGATATCATAAAACTGGAGCGTACAGGCTATTAAATCCAACAAATGAGAAGATCATGATGAGTCAAGATATTTTGATTGATGAAAATTCTTAATGGCATTACAATTAGAGTGATGCAATTTACAAACTATTTATGAGCTATGACTTCGAAGAAAAATGATGTCGAAGTCGAAGAAATTGTCGAAATTCCAATCAAAGTTGAAGAAGTTGTTAACATTTTCGACATAGCCGAAGTCAAAGAGGGTGAGGCTAGCACAAGACAAAGACCTCAAAGAACTAGAGTTAGTCTAGCAATACTTTAAGACTGTGAAGTGACTGGTGATGATGAAGTCACACTAGATGGATAATTAGTTCATTTTCCTTTACTTGAAGGTGTTGAACCAATCAATTAAAGAGAGGCTTTAAAGAATATACAGTGGAAGTCATATATGGTCGAAGGGTCACAAGCAATCGAAAGAAACAATACATGGGAGATTTTAGAATTTCCAACACACACAAAATCCATCGAAGTAAAGTGGGTGATCAAGTTGAATTGCAAGATTGGAGACTGTCAGATTGGTAGTCGTTATGGCATACAAGCAAGGCTGTTTGACATTTCACTTAGATGTGAAATAAACATTTTTAAATGATCCCTTAAATAAAGAGGTCTATGTAACACAAACTCCTAAGTTTTTTATTCAGCAGGAAGCAAGAAAAGTACACAGGTTTCACAAAGCGCTCTATGGCCTCAAGCAGGCACCTAGAGCATGGAACAAGAAAATTGACTCATACTTAGCCGAATTGGAATTAGTCAAATGCAAATCTAAGTATAGGGTCTATGTTTAGGTTATGGAACAAGATATAACAACCCTCTTCTTATATGTCAATGACTTATCGAAGTTTAAAGAGTTAATGATGAGGGAATTTGAAATGTCGGATATGAGAAAGTTGTCGTATTTCCTATGCAAGTAATTTCAAATGTCAAAGCAAGGTATAGTGCTACATCAAGTAAAATATGTCAAAAAGAGGATCAAGAGATTCATAATGGATGAGTCAAATCCTGCATCCTAACTTGACGAACTAAACTTGAAACTGAAGAAACATGGAGAAAAGGACAAGGTCGATGCTACTTTGTTCAAAAAAATTACGGGATCTCTGAGATATGTGTGCAATAATAAATCTATTTTAGGTTTCTCAGTCGAATAAGTGAGTAGATACAAGATTTAACCAAGGGTGTCACACATGAAGGCTGCCAAGAAGAATCCTGAGATACTTAAAAGGATCGATAAATTATGGAATTCTATTTCAATGAGATTTTGAAAGAAAAGAAGCTACAATTACTTGCTATTTAGATGTTTATGGCATGGCGATAAGGAAGATTGAACAAGCATAACTAGTTATTTGTTTCAAGTCTTTGTTGCCTCAATATCATGTTGATCGAAAAAGCAACATGTGGTGGTATTCTCATAGTATGAGGCTGAATATATAGCAGGATCCTATGATGCATGTCAAGCGATTTTGATCAGATTTGTGCTTGAAGAAATGGAGGTAGAAGTGAATAAACCTCTGGTGCTGCAAATTGACATAAAGACAACCATAAATCTTGCAAAGAATCCAGTTCTGCATGGAAGGAGTAAGAACATCAAAGCCAGATTTCACTTCTTAATGGAGAAGGTAAATGGAGGTGAACGTGAAGTAAGACATTGCTCAAGGGAAGCACAGTTGGCCGATATTTTCATCAAAGGATTGAAGATCGACAAATTCCTGAATTTGAGAAAGAAATTAGAAATAGTTCGGATCGATTATGATTAGCATATGTTCGACAATTGAGATTATAGGGGGTATGTTATGATAAATCCAAGTTGTGTAGCGCAAGCCAAAAGTTAGTTAGGGTTAGGGTTTGTTACTTAGTATACAAATTAGTTAGTTATATATAAATAAACATCATGTAATTCAGTTTTTTATTCTTCAAAATCATCAATCCTTATTTATTTACTCTATATCTTTCTCTCCACACTAAAATTGTCTCACGCACTAACAAATTGCAATTACGGTCCTATGGCTTTATTGGACCACTCTACTCTGCAATTAACGATTTAATCAATTCGATCGATCGAAACGGTTTGGATTTTAAAACAGAAGACAGTTCAACAATTACATTGTTCAAGTTAGGCAAAATAGCTTTTTTGGTCTCTTAAGTTTACCTCGGGGTCCATTCTGGTCCCTTATCTTTAAAAAGTTCCAAAGTGGTCCTTTAATTGGTCAAAAAGGTCCATGTTAGTCCTTTCCATCCATTTTTTTGAAACAACGTCAACTTTTGTTTGGGTGACATCTAATGTGGCGCTTGGTCACACGCGTGGCACGTGACTTGAAAAACATTAATCTTCAAGGTCATTAAATGATTAGAAAAATTCTAAAAAATATTTGTGGAAGTCAGGATTCGAACCCAAGTCAATTCAATGGAAGAGAACATACTTACCACTGAACCACTTCACAATTGCTAATTATAACTACATTTAAGTTTATTATGAAGCCATCACTATTATTCCGTGTACATGCATAATCATTATTATTTATTTTTCTGGCTTCCAACTTGGGATCACCACTACAATCCAGCTATTGAAGGAATAACTTTGTGGAAATCTTTATGAGATGACTCTGTTAACATTCTACGTCGATGAGCACTCTAGGTGTTGTTGCCTGAGACTAGATTCATGAAATATAGTAGGTCAATCATTAAGTTTAGCAACCCATTTGATTCTAAGCAGTTAGTTTAGTCTTGTAATGCAATATGGTATTAAGAAAGAACAAATTAAACCTTAATAATTTGAATCCTGTAGTTTCTAGGATATATTTATGCTTGTTAAATTGAGTTAAACATGTAAACATGTTAAATTTATTTATATAATATGTGACTTGCACAATAAAAACAAGCCAAAATATAAGTTTGATGATAAACTTTTCCAAGGAAGAAAATGCAACAATAATAAACTCAAATTTTCTTTTCTTGATTCAATATGGCAGAGACAATCTTAGAAAGTTGGTTGGGAGGATAAGAAAATATTTTGAGACATACACTACATATTCTCTATGGTTTCCATCTATAAGCCAAGTTTAATGATGATAATTTTAGTCATCATAGAGAAAAGAACAAACATAAAGCTATATACCATAATCAGATTACGGAAGATATAAACTAATTTCAAAACAAGACACAATAATCCAATCATGACCAATACCATTTTCATGGCCCCATTGTCCTTGATTGAACCAACTTCAAAGTAAACTACACTTTCTCAACTGCCAATACATTCATTCCTCATGTGATGCTCCAAATTTCTTCATATCCATGGGCCTATTTTAATAACTGAGACTTAACCTTTCTTTAATGAACTGCTTCCCCCATCTATAATTTCAAATTCGACACTCATTTGACATTAACCAGAAATCAAAGACACTCAACCTCTCACCCGCATGAACTGCGTAGCATTTGTTACGACTATTTCTTTGTCAATTAATGTGTTCCCTCATTGGCAATATTGAGTAATCATATGTTTCTTACTTTTTGTAGTATGCATTTTGATGTCAAAATATAATGGTGATATGTTTCTTACTTTATGTACGTGATAATGATGATATCTTTAGAGAAGACAATGATTCCTTATAATAATGAATTCTAATATATAACTGATTTGTAAATTAAAGATTAAGGGTGAAGTTGTGTAATGGTGAACCATGCATACCTTCAACCGAGATGACATTGGTTCGAGACCTACTACAATATAAATTTTTAAATATTTCTTTGAATTTTGATGACCTTGAAGATTAATGTTTGCCAAATCACGTGTCACGCGTATGACCAAACGCCACATCAGATGCCACTCAAATAAAAGTTGACACCGTTTCAAAAAAATGGACGGAAAAGATTAACGTCTTTTTGAACAATTAAAGGACCACTTTAAGACTTTTAAAGATAAGAGACCAGAATGGACCCCGAGGTAAACTTAAGGGACCAAAAAAGATATTTTTCCTTCAAGTTAATCTAAGAAGTCCATATAGAGTTGATGCATACCCAATTTGAAATATTTGCCAAGTCACGTGTCACGCGTATGACCAAGCGCCACATCAGATGTCATTCAAACAAAAACTGACGCCGTTTCAAAAAAATAGACAGAAATGACTAACGTCTTTTTGAATAATTAAATTACCATTTTAAAATTTTTAAAGATAATGGATCAGAGTAGACCCTAAAATAAATTTAAGAGACCAAAAAAAAAATTTTTACGATTAAGTTAATCTAAGAAATCCATCTGGAATTGATGCATACCGGATTTGAAAGGAGGAAAATAAAACGAATATGTTTATAATGAAAACTAAAAAAAAAATTAATATATTTATACATAACAATGACATATTTATAACCCAAGGAAGACAGTGACATTTAAATCCATATTTATATAAATAAAAAGGGGACAACTTCTCAAAATATATAAAGCTATATACTTTTCTGCTTCCTCCTAGGAGAACAAGTCCGTTATAGTGTATATTTTCGACACTTTAATTCGATACTGTATATTTTCGATGACTTATTTAATGAAGTCAAACATACTGATTCAATTGAAAACTCTTCCTTCAGGAAAAATTCATAAATTTTAATTTGGACTTTTCCATTCATGTCTTTGACTATTTCAACAAATGTTAAGCTCACCTTATACATCTACTATATATGTTCAATGAAGCAGACACAGAAAATATCATGCAACACATTGCTTAAATTCAAACTTGTTTTCATAATTAATGATGACAGATTCTTTGAGGGAAGATCAAATTGCTGAAATCTACGAGGCATTTTGTCTCATTGACAAGAACAATGATGGTGTGTGTTTTATTTGAGATTTTAATTTCTTCTATTTTCATTTTTGGTTTAACAATTATTATATAGTTCTTTGAAACCGATTAAGACTCTCTATAATTCTTGGTGTTTTTCGTGATGTGTAGGGTTTATTACTGCGGATGAATTAACCGTCGCAATTCGAACATTAGATGGAAATCCAAGAAAAGAAGAAATCCAAAATATGATTAGTGAAGTGGATATTGATGGAAAAGGATGTATTGATTTTGAAGAGTTCTTGAATATTATGAGTAGAAAAATAAAGGTAACATTATATATGTCTAAACCCTAAACCCTAAATTAAATTAATTAATTAAAAATTTGTTGCTTAATGCTAATGATATTATATTACTGTAAAATTAAATTTTTGATAGGAAAATATGTCTGATGAATTGAAAGAAGCGTTCAAAGTATTTGATAGAGATCAAGATGGATACATTTCTGCAAGGGAGGTAAACAGGCAAATAAACTTAAGACTTAAGCACTATTGTATAATTGTTTAGAGAGATTAATTTTCTATTTTATTATTTTGTTTTGTTAAGTAAAAATTGTTTTGATGTGTAGTTGAGATGTGTAATGATGAATTTGGGAGAGAAGCTAACGTATGAAGAGGCTAAGAAAATGATTAGAGAAGCAGATTTGGATGGCGATGGTAAACTTAACTATGAAGAATTTGCAAAAATGATGATGATACTAAAGTGATGTAGTTTTTAGAGAGGAAATGAAAATTTTATTTTATTTCCTTTGGCTTCACTCACCCAATACAATACACATTTACAAATACATATTAGAGAAGTGTTAAAACAATATTACTTTCTTTTCAATATTCGGTTGAATATTCTACACTTTTATTAAATGAGATTTAAGTAGATTTTGTTGATAATATTATTATATAATTTTATTATATAATTTTATTATATATTTAGCAGTAGAGTAGTCTTTTTTTATTTATTTAGTATTCATCCGTACATAATAATTCAAATGTATTGTATGAATTTGTTGTACTCTAAAATTTACCCTTTTATTTATAAATAAAAATGACTTATGTTTCATCATCATACTCATCATTTTGCATTGTATTAATTCAAAAGTATGACATCAAGGTTTTGACTATGTGAGTGTGTACCACTCAAAAGAAGAAATTTGATCTACAAGGGTTGAATATTTGAAATCTCCCCATCATAAACATCATCTCAAGTCACAAGATATGAGAGTTCAAGAAGTCTTTAAGCTCAATTAACTTTGCAAGCCTAAAATGATTGCATGATCTCCTATTGGTCTTAAAATATCCATGTGGGGTCCAAGGATCTTCATATAAGAGAATCAATATTGATTGGATAAGAAGAGATATGAGTGTGTATGAGCAAAAATCAATAATTTGGTCAAAATTAAGGTCTAAAATCAAAATACGAGAAAAAATGGTAATTAATGGAGAAAAGTCAAAGAAATAAGTCAAAAGGGAGATTTCTTGCATTTGAAGTTATCTTAGACTTAGAAAAATTTTATAAGTCTTAAGAGATTTTTGTGATCATATAGCCAATTTTGCAGTCATCTATCTCATTCATTTATGATCCAATTGGAGCAAACAAGGTATGGAATTAAAGAGCATGCTTCATACTATAACTTTGTAGAAGGAAGTAAGATTAAACTTACAAAGAATGAAAAGTTGTGAGGGTTAGAAGATGAGTGTTCATAAAAGATCGAATGTTGGTCACTTAGTAAAATTTCAGGGTTTTTCAGAATGCTCAAGTGTTTAATTTGACTTTAAAGCCAAAGTTCATGATGATCCAGACATCATTTCAAGACAAGCTCAATTACAAAGTTGTTCAAGTTTCTACAATTTACATCTTTGTAGAAGGAATCAAAGTCATTAGAGCTTTGGATTGAAACATATAAAGGTCAGAAGTTGATACCGCAATGGTGATACAAGTCCAACACTTTAAGAAAAAATGTGAAGAGTTTCAAATGTGATCAAATACATGACTTTAAGAGAAAAATTTATGGAAATCTAGTTAGCATCTCAAGACATGTCCAACTAGAAGTTTGTTCTATCAACTTTTCTCTTTCCCATGATATCAAGAATGCATCATTTGGGGCATTAATGAGAAACTTAGAGGCTTAAGGAATCATGAAGATGAAGTTGGTAACTTGGTATTATGCATAGAGAAATTTTGGATGACTCCATTAGTTTTTGTCTCAAGACTTCGTGACTACTTTCAAGAGTGTTCCAATCAATATTTCAACGCAATATCAACCTAAAAAAGGATCCTTAATGTCTACTTTTTCCATTGATTACTAGATTGAATCTATTGGAACACTAGGGCTCAAGATATAAGCTCGTGAAGTAGGGATATGGATACATGCTCAAGGTTGAGCATTTGGCCACAACTTACAATTGAATTCATTTTATCATGCATCTGAGCCATACCAGCTTGCAGTAGGCGTCACACATGCGGCACATACGCGCCCATTACCTCATATGGCCAAACAAATTACACTATGCATGCATGTTGATGGAACTTGACCAAAAATAAAGAGAGTCTTCATTCAACACTTGATGGCTAAGTTAAGTCGTGTGTACAAACTACATTACTCTACTCTTTCCCACACTAAATCAAAAATCAGAATAACAGTCTCTAATTTTTTCTTCATTTTCTCATCAAAACTCAACAAAATTTCAGCTTGCAAAATCTAAAAACAACACGCGCCTGGACCAATATATAATCATCACCTTCATTTAATTCCAAGTCAGTGACATTTCACCATTTTGCAGTTACAAAATGTTTTCAACTTCTAACCAACTTTGTCTCTTACTCATTCTTCACATGTAGCATTACTAATGCACCCCCTATTTATATATTTCATATCTTTGATACATGTGTAATTCAGCTTGTATTTATGATTTTTTGGAATTATTAAAAATCTAAAAAATATGTTCTTGATTCATTAGTGTCTTAAGATTTTTAAAATGAATTTTATGGATTTTTTATAGTTGGTTTTCATTTTCTTTTAAATGCTTTTTGGTTCAATATGTTTAGACGTGATGTTTAGGTGCTCCTTTGTAAGTTTTGACTAAATTTTTTATCTTTTCTTAGAAAATAAAATCTACAAAAATATGATTCTCATTATTTCATGCCTTAAGGATTTTTAGATTATTTTTCCAATTTGATTCCTATTTTATTATAAATCCTTGATGTGGGGGTGTTCTATTTGGCTATCTTTTGATCAAAACTTGTGTTTCATGATTGTTGATCACTATTTTGAACCAATCTTTTTGTCATGGTCAGAGGCCTATTTTTCCATGGTTTATGTATCAATTTGGTATTTTTTTGTTTGAGAATTAAATCATTTTCCAATTAGTTTTAGGAGCCTCGATGCACGCCTAGGTAGGAAGCACATGTTTGTGTAATTGTTGATTTTTTGGCTTGCATTTGGGCAATAGCTTAGGTTTCTTTTCATGACATGATAGTGCACATAATAACATGCCTTGTATGTTAAGACCATGATTTTTGAGGTTTCTTTAGACCTTTGTTTGATTTTTTTTCTTTGTGTTACACAAAGATGAATAATTGTCTACTTGTTTACATAGTTAGGAGTTGATCCTTTTTGCATGATCCCTAATGTTTAGTTAAATGTTTAGGTAGTATTTACCTTAATTTTGAGTCTATAATTAAGTCATATTCTTATTGTATCATGATGCTTGATCCATAAGTTGACAATTGGATGTTTTGACCTAATTTTGGCACATAATTTTCCTGGAACATGATCTTTCTTGTAAATTTTGTTTAAGATAAAAGATTATAGGTTGACTACTAACTTGTAAGGTTCTATACCTTTCTTAACATGAAACTTACTTGTTTCCCGAGTTTTGACTACTTTGTAATATTTAAAAGCATGTTTCTCCTTCATTACTTGAATTGACTAGTTATTTGAGTATTGTTTCATGTAATGCCATTTGTTTCTTTGCGACTTTAGAACATGTTTTCTAACTTGATTATCACTTGAATATAGCTTTTTATTGTTTTCATAAATGATCTTTAATGATATAATCTTTAGTGGTATAGTTTCTAGAAACTAGTTTGATAATGGTGTGGCTTATTTGGTCATTTCTTACATGTTTCCTTTGTGTTTCTTTCCCTACTTTTTGGATATGTTTGTATGAGCTTTAGGATGTTTACTTTCTGTCTTGGTTAGACTTCCATCTTTCCTAATTCATATCATCTTTTAAGGTTAAGCATTGATGTTATCTTTACACTTTAAGCCTTTAGTGCTAGTGAAATTGTTGATTGCTTTTGATTTGGTTGGTATTGTCTTAGGGTATAAACATTTATGCATGAACCTTAGGGGAACATTAGTGTTTTGTGTGTGACACATTCATTCTAATTGATTGATGAATTGAAGTTTGCATTAGGGCTTTGGCTTGTTTGATCATTGCTTTCTTGTTAGGTGATACACTTAGATGCTTGGTAGGCTTGTAAGCCATCTTATATTTGTTGTTTACATCATTGTTCTTGCCTTTGTATGCTCCCTTAGGACTAACTTGGTTCACTTAGAATAAAGTTAGACATTATACTTTTAAACCATGCATGTTAAAACTAGGTATACTTTTCCCTTTGTTAATCCTAACTTTATGGCCACCATTATATGATAACATTAGGAATAGAATTTCCCTTAGATTTTCCATTCCCCATTTTGCATCCTTAAAACTAAAACTCTTTCTTAAATAAAAAAATTCAAAACATTTAATAAATAAAGATGCGAATGGTATGAAGTTGAGTCTTATGGAAAAGAGTGAGGTGGTACATTCCTAACTTTTCTCTTCTCCCATTTTTGGACTTTATTACAATTCAAGTCACAAACTCTTTTACAAATAAGTGGAGAAATAGTTGATGTCCCTCCATTGGGAATCATTTTCTACTAACACTTAACAAATCTAAATTTCTTTTTCCAGTTGGCTTTTCTTATGTAAACTTTTCATAAGGGATTGTTACCCATTAAAAACTTAACGAATAAAGAGGCGAACCATATGTCACGAGTCTTAAGTAATGAGAGGAGTGTGAGGGGGTACATTCCCGACCATTTTCTTCAATTCACTCATAGTCTTTAATATGGTTCAAATCACCAAATCCTTGTCAAGGTAAGAAAGACTAAACCAATTCAAACCTTTTTGCCTTTAGGTTTTTCCTTTTGAAAACCTTTTCAAGTAAGAACATGCTAATTCCTTTATATAACAATTGTGTGAGTCTCCAAAGATCGAGCGGAAGTATAATACGAAATTAACATGATTCATTATAAAACACAAACAAACCAAAAATTTTGAGCCGAACTATGACGCTCTGATTCCTCAGAAGGGATACGTAGTCATTGGGTTGCAGGGCCTAAGCGAACACAACTATTTAAAACATTTTTTCTCTGTATTTTTATTTTTCATTCATACATTCCTATAGCTTGTAAGTTTAGATAGACACACCATTTCATTACAACAACAAGAGTGGATCCCGTGGAGTACCACAGACGTTTTACCTTCCCCTTGTGTAATCGACTCCCACACCCTTTTGTCATACCTAAATTTGTCCTACCCTTTTATAATACTCGTCTAGATTATGCTTACCCCTCAGTAGGTCATATAACATTGCATGCATCATTAATCTGTAAATGGTCATGGGATCGAGGTATTTCTTTCCGGAAGCCACTTGAAAAAG